TGCATTGCAAAAAATCAGACCTGTTTCTGATTTGGACCACATATGAATGTGGCACTCCACTGGTGCTCTAAACAACCAGTCCCAAGCAGTACGGCTAAGCTAACAGCAGCTACATTTATCAGCAGTTACTTTACTGTCTATCAGGACACACTGTAAATTACAGAGTTGAGGCGGAGCACCCAGAGGACATCAGAATCAGTGACATAGTGCTTTTTGCTTTCGACTCCTTGGAGCACAAAGATACATAGTGCAATGAATGGCAGAGGCACCATTCACCCTGTTACAACTCAGTGTAGCATCAAAATCATTTTAACACTGTTATTTTAAGGTAGAAAAGTTACATAATGTTGCTTTAAAACACAAATTACATCAGTACAAACCAACATCACTGTAAATATTAATTCTCAGAATGCAACAGCAAAAAACATCTAACTGATGACTCAGGTCAACTGTCATTAACACATAACATAGTTACTTATAATGTTTCCTTTTTGGGACAATACAAACTTTAAATCTTGGCACTATTTTTTACCACCTTGGAAAATGTGCTGCTTTGCTTTACCAGTAAGCCGTAGCCAAGTACCAACTGACGTGAACAGTTATTTGACAATAATGTACTCTCTGGTGTTATTGTGTAGGTTCACCACAATGTCAGCTGTCAGTCATCAAAACACAGAGGGAGCCCGGTTTCTGCAGCTCATACAATGGCACAGTGTGTTACATTATGTTGTAGTTTTTCCTATGGTTACATTTGAACTCAGCGTGTGCAGAATGCAGCGACTGTAAGTGTAAACGTGTGTATGCACTTGACCTGTGAAAGTGTGTTCCCATGTTTCCCTTTATTTGCTTTATGTGATCACTTTACAATGCACTTAGCAGTTTAGCAGGATGCCTAGTGTAGTTTTATCACGCCGTTATGTGTGCGTGTACTGTGTATATAAGTGCTTGTTGGTTGTCGATAGCAACACCCCAGTATTAGCCTGTGATTGCAGTGTATATTTGTCATTTTGTGTTTTGTATTGTGTGTGTTAGAGTGCGTATTTGAGGGTGGGTTTTTGGATGCAGCTGTGTGTGTGTGTGCGTGCTTGCGTGCCTGTGTACAAATGTGTGTATATATGTGTGCGAGGATGTCAGTGTCTGCGATTAAAGCCATTAAAATTTGTATGTGTGTGTAATATGCACAACTACACATACACGTAGTTGTGCATATTCCAGAGCAAGATTGGAAGTGGGTCTATTTCTTTTGCAGTCACTGATGTGCCCCTGTGTGTGTAATTGAAATACCTGAGTTATTGACTCTCTCTCCCCTGCAAGTCAAATAACTGCTCCAGGAGTGTGTGAGTGCACTCATTTGGAGGCTCTGGGGCAGAGCAGGCAACTTTGGCAGACCAAGGCCTGTCAACCGTGGACTACACACATACACAGAAACACACACATATGTAACAGAGAGCCCTACTGAGACCAAACAAACACGGACACAGGCAAAATTAGAGGCACAAACACCCACATATGCATTTTTACAGACATACAAACTACATAACCTGGCACACACACAATGAATGGCACATAGATATGTCTCTATCCCCACACACACACACTTCCCGTAGAGGAGGGCACACGTTTCCCGTCTCTCTCTTCCTCTCTCTGACAGCAGCAGTCCTCTGTGGCTGAACAACTCAGGCTTAGCCTCCTCCTGCCTAAATGGCTGGCTGACTGGCTGACACACGCGCACGGCCTGGCACAAACACACACACACACACCTCCGTTTGCCTGCTCCTTCACTGACTCCTGGCTTCCTGCCCCTTCACTGCTCACTCACTCCATACAGGATCACAGCCGTCTGCCAGCCTGCCCCTCTTCCTCTCCATTCATCCTATTGTCACCACATTGTCCTCTGCCTCTGTCCCTCCGGAGGCTTCAAATCTCAGCTACATCCTCGCTGCTTTTTGTACATCTCTATCTTTTATTCTCGCTTGCTTAATTCCTTTCTCTCCCTTTAGTTTCTCTCTGTTTTTCTCTTTTCTCTTATCTGCTCCCTCCTCTACGGTTTTATCTGCTCTTTTTCTATCTCTCGCTGTATCTCTCCATCTCTCTCTTTCTCTCTCTCTCTCCCCTGTTTCCACTGGCCATTCATCCTGCTGTATTGTGTGCTGTAGTGTATTGTTGTCTGTGTACAGTAGCCAGCACTGACGTCAGCCGTGGATCCACAGAGAAGACAGTGACCGGCTCAGGAGCGTATTCAAAGCCTTGCTGGCTGGCTTCCTGCGTCTGGCTGGCTGACATGCTGGCCTCGCTACCCCCTCTGGGAATTTTAATGCTCACTAATCGATCACCCTGTGCCAACAGAGGTGATAATGTGGCCAGACCCTAATTATTGTTGCTGTAAATGAAGAGGTGTTTTGCAGCACTTCATTTTATTCAAGGTTTCCTATCATTCAACCCTCTCCCTCCAGTGTTTTTTTTTTTTTTCTACCATATCTCTCACCATGCTTCTTTCCCTCCTTCTGTGTCTGTCTTGCTCTTCTTTTAGCATGTATTTTTCTCAAAGGCTAATGAAAATTCTGCAGACCTCTGGCACTCTGAATGAGTGTGTTGGACAGTACATTAATACTGCTCTTAAGAAGAGAGCGATAGAGAGAGGAAGCCAGAGGAAATGGGGGGGCAGGGTGGCGTGGTGCTGTACAGAGGATAAAGGGGGGAGCGGGAGTGCACGAATCTGGAAATTCAATTATAACTGTGCCCTGGCAGTAATTCCACTGGTATAAATGGGATGGCAGAGCAAGAGGAGAAATGGATAGAGATGGATGAAGGATGAGAGAGAAAGAGGCAGAGAAGAGATAGAAAGTTGAGGAACAAATGGATTCAAGTTAGCCGAGAAACGCGAGTACAACATCAGTGTGCGCATCATTATTTCATGATTTCGAAACACAGCCTCTGCATTGAACTCAGCATTAGATGCACATTGCATTTCACACAGCATGAGATGATAACGACGTGTTTTCAACATCACGGATGCAGCACATTACACTCATTATTTGAAAGAGCGTTCGGCAAGTGTTTCACATGCACATTGTACCTCTCAACATGCCACCTCAACGGCATGGTGCCGATCTCATTAAAGCAGAAACAAGGTACCAGATCAACCCATGTGCGTCCCCTGGGATGGGCAGGTTAGCCTTTGATGTTGAGTGGAGCGTGGAGTCCCAAGAAGCCAGAGAGATTTCAACACCCTACTTGCCTGCCTGCCTGCCTGTCATGGCTGTCAGCTACCACTGATTTTCCTCACAAAGAGTCCACAAAACCATTCCCATTCACATAATTTGCCAGATTAGGAGCATGAATATCCAAGAACATAAACATACTACTGTACATCGTGTACACAGAAGTTGGGCTCACAGACTGACTCACCCATGCACAGTAACAAGCTCATGTCGCAGAACTGCAGAGTCTTGTCTAGACTCTTATTTCTCACCTCCTCCTCTTCTTCTGTCCAACTCAATATTCCATTTCAATACTGGTGGCAGGCTTGGATATCAGTCTGTGAGTGATGTTTACTGGAGTGTCTGCATCTTAACTGTACTACTGTTTGGTTTGCTGTACATTCTGTATCTCTTATATTTAGATTTAGCCTCTCCAAGCGAAGGGGTTTTGTTAGTGACAGTATGTTCAGGGCAGGTGTGTGCCATTTCAAGTGCATTCATCGTCTAGCTGGTTGCAGGTTACATTGAAATTGCATTGTTCCAACACGGCTATAATGAAACAAATTGATGAAAATGATCGATGAGATTGAGGACAGCAGCTCTGAGTCCCCAGAATTTGCTCCAGCCACCCCCGTGTACAAACTCATTAAAGGAGTCATAAAGGCAACTAATGAAAATCATGACCGGTATCATTACAAGCCCACTGGTGTCCTCTCGCCTTTCTCCTCTGCGAGCGAGAGAATAAAGGCGGCTAAATTAATGTTCGCACCAATAATGTTACAAAACCACCGCCGTCCTTTAAGTAGTATCTCTTCTCCTCTGTGTGTAAAGCCAACTAAATTAAAGTTCAGGCCAATATTGTTACATAACCATTTACACTCTGCTTCTTTGTTCTTCTGTGTGCTTCTGTCATTTTCAGGATGACAACTCCATGTTCTTTCAATTTGGCCCTTCCATCGAGCAGCAGGCTTCGGTCATACTAAACATCATGGAGGAATACGACTGGTACATCTTCTCCATCGTCACCACGTACTACCCTGGTTACCAGGACTTTGTCACCAAGGTAACCGCACTCAGCTGAGACAACATGCACAAATAATCAGGACATAAAGGCAAGATGACACAGAGCAGAAAATAAATTAGCTTCCATCTCTGATCACTTTAGTGTCACAATAGAAATATTGCGGCCCCACTGTACTGGGAAATTTACTGTACAAAGAAACAGGTAACGTTTTATTACATGATGCTGATTAAAGACACTTTGCCAATAAATGACAGAATTGATATACGCACTCCCTAGTATTTAAGATAAAGATTAAAAGGTCCAGTGTGTAACCTTTAACACGATCTATTGGCACAAAGGGAATATAATATTCATAGGTGTTTTCATTAGTGTATATTAAAAGAAAATATGAATTGTTCTGTTTTCTCGTCACCTCAGAATGAGCCGTTTTCTATCTTCAGACACCTGGTTACCTTCCATGGAGGCCTCCATGTTGAACCACCATGTACCACAGTAGCCTAGAAGGGACAAACCAAACACTGGCTCTAGATATGGCCTTTTGCATTTAAGTCCTAAACACTGGACCTTCTTAGAATCTTAAAATATTGTTGGAGGGGGTGCCCAGCTCACCTGGTAGAACTGGCTCCCCATGTACCAAGGCTGAATCCTTACTGCAGCGGCCCAGGGTTCCAATCTGACCTGTGGTCCTCCTGTCACTCTTCAGCTGTCACCATCGATTGAATGCAATTAACGCCCCCCAAGATATAAATATATAAAAAAAGATTGTTTGAGAATTGCTTTCTTATGACCAGCCTCTTTTTCTTCTGTCCCATCCAGATCCGTAGCACCATCGAGAACAGCTTTGTGGGCTGGGAACTGGAGGAAGTTATACTACTTGACATGTCCGTAGATGACGGAGATTCAAAGATCCAAAACCAGCTGAAGAAGCTCCAGAGCCCCGTCATTCTTCTCTACTGCACGAAGGAAGAGGCCAACACCATCTTCGAGGTGGCCCACTCCGTTGGGATCACTGGCTATGGCTACACATGGATAGTGCCCTCGCTGGTAGCTGGAGACACTGTTGTAGTGCCTGCAGAGTTCCCAACAGGTAGGAAATCTGCTATAGTAGGTGTACTCAAATATGAGTCGTAAAGGTCCAGAATCGTGTCAGAGGTCCAGGAAGGTTGGATTAAGCAAGTCATAGTTAAGGCTGAAAAACTTGTACACAAAGGTTATTTCTGCATTAACCTTTGTTGTGTAACCAAGTCTTTAAACTTTGGTACAAGAGGTGTGATGTGCAGGCCGACATACTGATGAAGTGTGTGCTGAGTTTGCTGTGATTGACTGTTTCACTGTATTCCTAGTTTAAAATGCCCAACCTTGTTGTCCAATTAATTCCACAGTTATTCTGCTGGTAGCTTGATATGATGTTTTCAGATGGTTCAGTTTTGTGGTTCTTACTTCCGTACTCTGAGGACTGTAAAAAATGTGCATGTTTGGTGTTGTAGTTGCATTTTACCACGCTTGACAATCACCAGCTGTTTCACTTATAATGATGCACACTCGTGCTTCCTTCTCTCAGATATAGTGTAAAGTATTTTCCAGTCTTTTCATCCACAAGTGCACTTTTTCACTGTTAGCCTATCATTGCTTGGCTAGTTTTTGAAGGTGCCATTCCATTTTTCTATCTCTGACAGCAAGCTTGCTAATTGTGGCTACTAGCCTAAAAAAGGCTGACAGGTGAAGTGACGTGATAGCAAGCCGTCAGATTGCAATGAAATTTTGTCAAGGTTCTGGATTAATTTGTCTGGATTTGAGCCAGAGTCTCCCTAAGTGTGTGGCAGCTATAGGAAACTGAGTCAGAATAGGGAATTAAAGTGGATCTCATTTTTCTCTGGCATAATCTTAGTGTGGAAGGATGTTTGCTTGCTTTGAGCTAAAATCCTGAGCCCTTTTCCCAGTACAACAATTATATTGCATGCAGTGTTTGGTTGATGTTCATCTAAAGTGCTTTAAAAGAAGCATGAATGCATTTTCTATATAGGCAGCCCCAGTCTGAATCAGATGCCTAACTCTCTCAAAAGAAGAAGAAAACATACATGTAGTTAGTAATTTACTGTTGTGACATTTGAGAAACCTGTGACAGTTAGTACTGTGGATTGTAGTAAATGCTGAAAAGTAGTTTAAGAGTAGCACAAATAAAGTCACTGAAATTACTGAATAATGTCACATTTACTGCAAGTTTTCTAAAATTAGCCACTAGTTATATTAGACCAAGTGAGGCAGTAACTCCTTTGCGTTTAAACCTGAGCAATGGTGCGTTTTATTGCTTAAGAATGCAGCTTTTCATTTGTAAGTGGAAGAATGTCGTCTTTGTTCTTTCAAAAGTTACATTGTCTCGCTGTAAGAAAGTAAAAACATTATTATTGAAGACTTTGAGATGCAATTAAATGTTCTCGAAAATACGTGTAAGTGGACCTTTTTAAAATTACTATCCCAATGTCAAGAATGAGCTTTCACACTCAGTAAAGAGTCACTGAGGTTTAAGTTTGTGGTTGCAGTGCTAACAGCACCTGTGGCTAGCTTTGGAAGCAGCAATGTCATGTTTGTGTTGTTTTAATTGTGTTCTTGCTTTATCACTTGTGGCAATGTTAGCCTGCAGTACAGTAACCTGATACTCTTCCCTAAAATTGATGCAATGCTGAAGTGTCAAAAGGGCCAGACTAAAATGCTAAAATGGCAGTAACTGCCATGAAAACAAAGATGAAGGCATGTACCCTCGTACAAGAGGCGGCAATATCTAAATCTAAATTTGGCGTACTTGACAGCACAGAAAGAACACTGGGCCTTTGAAATGTTATTTCCCAAATATTATTTTCAGTTAGCTATTTGGCTTTTTTCTGCAAGACAAGAAACAAACTGACCTTTCCTAATAAGAAGTGAAGGTGCGTTTCTCCCCCGCTCTCCCCCCACAACACCACTGGAGGTCATTCTAACCTTTGAAGGTCAAATGTAGAACCAAAGTGACATCTAAGTTGGGGTGCATTAACCACACATCCTGCTCACGCAATCTGTCAGGCACATCTGTCAGACTGCCTCATGTAACTCTCACTTTCAGTACTTGGGGGTGGACAGACAGTTTTAGAAAGGCCACCTCTCAGCTGGAATCAAACCTGTAACTGTTTGCGATGTTGCCACCAAGAGTACTAATGGAACTTTCCACGACTTCAGTCTATTTTACTCTCCGTAGGACGGTAAACCTCAGTGTAGGTAGTAGATTTATGCTGGACGTATGAGCCTGATAATTTGTTGGTGTTTGGCTTGTTGATTTACAGTGCAGGGGAGATATAACACTGCTGCCTGTCCTCAGCAGTTTCTGGGAAATGGTTGCCAGGCCAGAGATCGTTGTGCCGTTCAAGTACTGTAACTCAAACTTTTTACCTCTGCTCCCTTATTGGCATCCATGGATGATTTACTCTAAATGGGAGTTAGGAGTGTGTTTGCGAGCCTGGGTGTGTGTGTGTGCCAGTGAGTGTGTTTTGTGCCTTTTTATGTAAAGTCTGTGTGCATTTGTCTGTGAAATGTGTGATTGGTTCATAGCTTGATTTGCATGAGAAAATAATGGGTGAGTGTAATCAAATGGGTTGTGTGTTTTTGTGTACCTCACATGGCAGAGGGCCAGAGTGTTTATTCGTAGGCCAGGGTGAAACTATGGTTGTGTGTGTGCGTTTGTATCAGTTTGTCTGCTCCAAATTAGAGTTCCACTCTATAAAGTTTGATATATCACCATATCAGCTATGTAAATCACACAACAACTTCCCTCTTGATTTATGTGGCCACAGAGATAATCGTGACTAGCTCATGTACTGCCTGGATGATTACAAAGTGGAGCTGGCGGAGTGGCTTCAGTGATGGACACACACACAAACCTCTTCAGTTAACATTGACTTATCATGGGATTAATCATACGGGACATAATGACAGATAGTGTCATCCACCCATTTAATGCTCGATGAATAGGAAACAGTGCCTATAGACTAACGTAAATGCTGTGGATCATCTTTTTTGTATAGTTAAAAGGATGTCTGCTTCATGTATTTATGTAAATATATCTATTGCAAAATATAATGTTACATGGTAGTATGCATTGAAGTCGCATGTTGAATATAAGTCAGCACGCAGATGGCTTAGCTTCTGCTCACAGCACTGCTGCTGCAGGATCTGTCAATGCTTTCCGCTGCCAATAAGATGAACATGATGGTAAGATGTTACTTAACAGCTTCAGCAGTGACAGTGTGTAAAACCTGCACTGAAAGCAGCCTCACCTTCATAACAAGTTGCTAAAGCATCAGAAAGACTACTGATTTGGTGGTTTTTTTATGTGTGTTTTTGCAGATGCATCGATATCCTGACTGTAGCAATTTCTTTGCCATGTGAAAAGATAGATTTAAACTACACTGGCCCTGAGGTATCCAGGATGAAGACTCTGCTTCAGAAAAGCAGATAGTGGCATGATATTTGTAGACATTATGCATTCAGCTGTAGAACTCAATCATTCAGCCAAGCGTTATTTCTGAGCTTCAACCTCAACATCATAAAAGCCACATGTAGCCTGTAGTGGCAGTCAACCACACTAACTTCTGAACTAACGCAGTGCGAAACGACACCACAGCACAGCGTGTGACTGATGGTGTGGTGGTGTGTGCTCTGGGTGAATCCAGCAGCTCAGGGTTCAGCAGAAGGTGCACGCTTGCTGTGGGGTGAATTTGCTTACTAGGCACACTTAATAATTTGCACCATGTGTGATGAAGAGCCCCCAATTCTCATGGGTAATTCCACTCATGCCTTCCTTAAGTGGCGCTCTGGGGAACCATCTCTCCTCCCACCCTCCTCTTTCGTGCTGTTGTTCCCTCGCTTCTCTGTGTTTTCTGTCTCACAATTTCAGCCTCCTCTGACTCTCTTCCTAACTCTCTGCTCCCTTCAGTTTTTTTTCTGTTTCTTTTGCTGCTTTATCTTTGCTGCTGTCTGACTTTTTCTCTCAGCTCATTCCGTCCCTCTTTTTCCTCCTTGGCGTTCTCAGCTCTCTCTCTCTCTCTCTCTCTCTATCGCTCTCTCTCTCTCTTACTAACAGCTTTTCTGTCTCTATTCTTCCTGATCAGAGTTACACACCACTGCTGCACAGACTGTGCTAACGTAACCACCCAATCTGACATCACTGACAATAATAAGCTGTTTCCAAAAATACCCAGTGATACGGTAGTTCTGCTGTTACGTTCTCCAATCAATTTGCCTGCTTGTGGATACTCTATGTCTGCACTGTTTGTGATTTTCTTTGTATATGTGCGTATGTGTGCGTATCTGTGACAGGGAGACAGATTTAGCCTTCAAACTGAGGCCGTAGCTAGTATACAGGCAAGAAAAAAGGCTTTATGGCTGCCACAGTGCCATTCAGCTATAACATAGCAGGTTGACATGAGGGTGTTGTGACATTAAAACATGTCCTGAGAGATGTATCAACACATAAGCAGCAGTTCCCAAGATGTAGAAAAAGAATACGCCACACGGTGCATGCACATCCCATAAAACAATAAAAGTGAAGTGTGCAAAAAGCGATGGGAGTGTGTGAGTGTTGAGAAAGTGTCAACAGTGTGTGACATTAGATGTGGTCCTGAAGGGCCGGAGCTGTCAGTGCTGAGGCCCCATGAGGAAGGCAGGTTGCCAGGCCGCCTGTCTATTTCTGCCTACTGACATGGTTGTGGACTGGCTGACATGTGGTCATACTCTGTCAGATAGACGCAGATCGACTGATGGACAGAGAGAGGGACAGATTAAAAGGCAGACAGAGAGACAGAAAGCCAGATAAATTGACTTGAAGGCAGTCAGTGCTTCTCTGGGAGCTGTGACCTTAACCCAGAGGCACCCAATGGGTTCCAGACAGAATGATCAGTTATTGGCCATTTTCAGAAGTCATAAGGGCACTTGGTGTTGAGAGTTTAGATAAGATTTTTGATCTGGAAGGTTTACTCGTTAAATTGAGCATTGACTAAATCCACCCTCCTTAGTTACTGCTGCTACACCTGTCCAGCTCTAAAGCTCGAACAGAATTCC